CTTTCTGCCATTCAAGTTGGTGTCGTTACCTGACCCAGTGGGTTGATTAGCGTTCTGTACTTTTCCAGCTTTGAGAGCGGTGCACATCGGTCAGGCGAGCGTGGTGGTTGCAAGGTCAAGATTTAGTACAGATGGCTTGTTACCTGTTCTGAACCGAGTGGGCAAAGTGGTGTGATTGTAAATAGGGACAGTGGTTACGGGATCTTGCGGATCGGTTTTGAATTGTTCTCCGAGCGTGGCAGGCATTTCTAGTTAATGTATGTAGAAACCACCCATGATAAGTATTCAAATGTAGTTTCGCCGTAAACCTCATCCTAAAGCAGCCGATAGGTGGTAGTCGGTTTCCGGATTAGAGTTGGGGGACGGTACATCAAGAACATAATGCAAGCGTCCCTGCCTTTTAACTGCAACCGGCACCAAAGAGAGTCGGGGAACTGCGAATCTGAATCATCAACGGCTTCGCACTGTAAGTCGTTTCGGTAATACAGGATTACCCCCCCCTCCATTTGTGAGCCTATCGTTCTGGATAAGCGACACTCCCAGCAGCAGAGGTTCAGGTTCTGTCATTACCCTGTGCAACCATGTCTCGGTGATACCAATGTCATTATACGTCCCGGAAGCTTGGTGATCTTTCAGTATGGCCAGTTAATTAAAAAGACCTTGGGCATTCGTATACAAGCAGGCCAGTTTCTCGGTCTCTAGGAGCCTACGGAGAGGTTAAGTGGTCAAGTGTGGGAGAATTCCACCCGAAAGGAGGTTGGCAGTTCCTCATTTTATGATGGGATAATGATACCCCATTTACAAATTGATTCGGCCAAGATGCATCTCAATCTAAGTTTTGACTTACGTCAGAGTCAATAAAGCAGCAGTCCAGTTACGCTTCTGTACATTCGACGGTGCTCTTTCTGTTTCAAGTGCTTTGATATTTGGGTTGTGTAAAGCTTCTGCGACCTTTAACCGAAGTTCAGAGGGAAGACTTTTCCAATTTCTCCGCCCTCGATCCAAAACATCGGTTGCTTGTTGCTCTGACTGAATCACACGTTTTTTGGGATTCTAAAGCCACATTCTGTATTATTTATTTGGTTAGAGTGAGGTAACCTGGTAAGCGATAGCGCCACAATATTATCCAAATAAATGTTTTACATATGCACCTCCAGTGTTTTAAATCGTACGTTCCGTTCTCTTGAACATCGTTAGAAGGATGTTTGGGCACGCCATGTATGAAAATTGTGGTTAAGAGGTTTTGCTTGCTCTGTCCCTCTTCGGTCTTTCTTTTTACTTGTCGCACGCTCCAGTTGAAATCAGGATAATTGCGTATTCCATCGGATAGGTGTTTCAGTGCACTTGCAGACAGCAAGACATTTTCTACCTTAGTGGAGGATTCTAGTGTTACTCGAATATGTCTGGGTTCTTCATAGTTTGGCGAGTTCGAATGACGAGTAATTCGGAATAAGTTTATGGGCTGGGCTTTGACGCTCACGAGTTCCATTGGTCTTGGTTGTCCGATAACTTATCCCGCAGTGTGATGGCGGTAGATTCAGGGACACTTGAACATACAACATTCCGGGCACTAAGGTTGCATCACTTTTTCGTTGAGCTACAAAGTGGGGTACTCGTTTGTCCGTATCTGCTGTCAAGTGCTGATTATTTACTGTTTGTCCCTCTATTCGAGTTAACGGTGTTTACAACAGAAGAGACGACAACGGCGGCCTTCCGGTGGACCTTTGCATCAATCTCTGCATAAGTAACTGAAGTTCCTGGGACTTTGTCTCTTGTGGAGACATTTGAGCTACAGGTACCAAGGGTTGGTGTTTGGCTGCTTCACCATAAACAGAGAGTAGCGAACAAGCTTGTTCGCTACTTTCCGTTTCTGATGTCATCCCCGGGAATTATTTCTCAATTACCTCATCATAATTAATGCTAGATTTCAGGTCTAGTAGAAGTTGCTTAACCAGAAGTTCCGAGTGGTGCCTGAATTTCGTTGCCGTGAGTACTGTTCGACTCTTGTATGTACGGTCTCTTTTCGCTCGAGGTTCTACCCAAGTCGGAGAAGACAACGGAGATGGAGAGGTGGCTGAGTGCGGTTCAGGTGAAGCGGATTGTGCAGCATTCCGTTGCTTAGAAGCCGCCACGCTTCTGTGGTGCATACTCGCTTCCATTGAAGTAATCTTATTGTTTATCCTCTGCTCTGCTTTTGCGATTAACCGGTCGCACTTCATAGCTAGGATAAGCAAGCACATAACGAGGGAGATGGTGGAGCACGTAGTACAATATCAAAGTGCGTCTTGGGTGCTATTTCGCTCCCGTAACTGTTGTTGGGACACCATTGCACATTTCGTATGATACCATTCCAAACAGTGCGAGCAAGCCAGACAGATTTTTACTACTCGATGACATTCTTCTAACTCGCAAATGCCTTTCGCTTGGAGTCTTTTCGGTTTCGCCTTTCTGCCATTCAAGTTGGTGTCGTTACCTGACCCAGTGGGTTGATTAGCGTTCTGTACTTTTCCAGCTTTGAGAGCGGTGCACATCGGTCAGGCGAGCGTTCGGCATGGTCGCGCACTCCGTGTGATGGTCTATGCAGACGCACTGGCTGAGAAGTTCACAAGGAATGGCGAGTGACTGGAATCTGCTAACTGAATCCGAACACAGCACTGAACACAGATTGAGTTGGCATGTATTAATACTTGCAATTGGCTCATGGTCCTATGTATTTTCCTACACCAACTGCGCAAATCACAATCGCAATTCCCGTACATTTGCAGCGTGGTAACTAAAAGGGGAATCCGACGAAATTCACTAGCAGCAAGCTGAACAACTATCAGAGGTGACTGGGTTAGAACCAGCTTTAGGCGATTCCATCAGACAGTCAGTTACAGGGGATGTAGATAAAATTTGATATCTCCGGCTTTGCATTCGTCATTAGTTTTGCTCGCCAGCTTGACACAACGCAACACGTTAGGACTCAAACTGACGACTTTTAGTAATCCTCTTACTTCATAGCACACCTATTAGGTTACCAGCCTTTACGGGGGACTTTTGTAACCGTGGTTAAGGGATCATTCACTTCACGGTGATGCTTAGCTTTGTGTTCACACTTACCGCCTGAAGCGATGGAAAGCTAGCTTGTTCAAACTTGCTACTTTCTGGATTCTATTCAGCACAATCCACAACCGACGTTTATGCCTCGTTCTCAATGTGACAAGGTAGCAGCTACTAAGCCAAAAGTTCGAAACGGCAGAAATTTTCTCATTTGTTTGGTCAGATCAGGGAATAAGTAACTCATAGAAGCTATGTTGCCAGCCCGCGACAAAACAAAGCACAGTTTTTTACAATAGCATCCCTGGCCCATTCCGTCCAATTTATATGATATAGAAGGAGAGCCTGGTGATTCCATTGCAAAGGAACAGCACGACCATGTGGTGCGTGGGCTGTCCTGTGATTCAGAGTCTTTCGTTGGGTGCCATTGACCTCGAAGGCGACGGCCAATATAAACTACAAATATGGTACACAAAAAGTACGAAAGAATGCATTTACTGTCGCTGCCGATCTATCCACCATCAATTTGCGCAAACCCATCCCACCCACATTAAGTATCGACATGTGCGTCGATGTCTTGAAGAATTGTTTTTGAGGAAGCCAAGTAAACGTGTCATACCGGCTTGTGCTGTTCTGCAAAGGGGAGGGAAATTTAGCGAGCTATTTTTAAACTAGCCCTAAATTTCTGCCTAGGGCACAATTGCTACCCTAGTTAGCCATTTGGCCACCAATTCAAACTTGCCACTGGATCTACGGCAATAGAGCTACTAAAGTGGGAGCTACGTCTAGTATGTAATGCACTTCGATACCTTGAACATTACGTTTATGTCAAGCTGACTTTAGGAAAAATAGCGAGCAAATTGGCAAACACGAGGTTCAAAAGGCTGATACTATTAAAGACTGTTTAACTTCCTATTTCCAAAACGGTAACATATTGCTTTACCCTATGGAATTAGAGCATGGAGTTCCCACTCTACGCAGGCGCAGTCAGGTGCGATCTCTTAATCATCGGTGGTGATGGCTGTCAAGTTTGCCATCCAGCCGCATAATTATAGACTGTTCCTGGATCGAGTAAGGTGAAACTCTACGTTTCCTTGGTGCTCTGATTGTTCGCTGAGCTTGGCAGTTTGGATGCAAACGTATCACGCTAGCTTTCGCACAGTGCATCTCCGCAACCCACACGTGCACTAATCGTGTCACCTAGAGTGGAGAGGAAACATTTTCAACCAAACTGCCGAACTCCGGGAACTATCAGATTACTAACTGAACATCCTGCGCAAATAATATTTGCTTCTATATTGCAACCTACATTTCATTCTTAACCAGATGGCCTGCTAAAGTTGCATACGGAAGAGCACTCAAGCCATCCATCCTCCAGCTTCACGTTCACATTCATAGATCCACTCAGGAAATTCTGTTGCCACCACAGAATGACAGTGAATTTTACCCAAACCAAGAGGTCGATTTTAGCCGCATAGTTGCGAGGGCAGTCTCAATTTGTTACTTTGTTTTGATTGAATAGGATGCGGGAATCTCGGCATAGCACAGAAAGATGGACCACAATGGCAGAAAGTACTATGTTTGGAGCACAGTGGAACAATGTCCAGCTTATGAAACCTGGGACGAAAGAACAGATTGTCTATTGTACAGTGGTTAGTACTCTGGGTGATACACTAATTCTAATCCTAACCAGGTTGCAACACTATGCTAAACAGCATTGGTCAGCAAAATTGTACTGCCTCGTTGCTTTAAATTACATATTTGACTTTTTTAGAGTGAACGCCCTTCATGTTGCCTATTTTGGCACCCATACGTGCCAACTACAATGTACCATCTTGTCATGCTATCTGAATGAGAACGTCCATTTGACTTAATGCAACATTGTTTACCGGTAGTTCAAATAGTTAATGGCCAAATGTGTGGGCTGCTGGGTTCTGAAGTTTCGTTTATTTTTTGCACAGATATGCGGTAACAGAACTTGTGGAAACTGAAAGGGAATACGTGAAAGCCTTGAAACCGCTGTTTGAGATATTAGGCCGCATCAAGAGTCAACTTATTGTGCATGTGGGAAAACCTGAAGAGGAAACTATCGAGATGCCAGAGGGAATGCACCACACTATACAACGCATACGTGATTCTCTAGGAAGTATCCTGGATTTTTCTGAAAAGTAAGCTCCAAAGCAATAATCAGCGTGTGTGAACACAACCTTGTTGTTTATACTGCAGTTATGTAGATACACTAGTCTGCCCTAGAATCTCTGTAAACTCAACCTTAATCAGTCCTGTAAACAGAACCGAGCAATTAGTCAAAAGCATCCTTCACCCCATTAAACTGGCATCACCAGTCTAAACTGTATGTTTACGACTGACATCATCACCGTTTCGTCAGAACTCACGTAATTCAATTTGAAGAATTAAAGATGATTGTTTTATTTGCAAAATGCTACAACAACGACAAACCTTCGGTTTAAGATTTTTAGCGAAAAGGAGCCTGTAACTGCATACTTACCTGAACCTGCTTTGGTGGTAGCCCCTTGGGAAATAACGAAATTAATCCGAAACCATATAAGCTTGAAGAGACATCATTTGTGCGGTTTGTCTTCGTGAACATCAATCTTGCTAAGAACCAATCACTACCATGGTTTCCCTAAATTCCAAATAAGTTTGGTTACCTGTCAGCAAGAGTGACCATAGGTTTGCAGGTAGCACATTTGCGTCTTTAGAGATCATGACCTGTCTTAATATTTAAACTTATACCGCACAAAATCTTCAATTCACGGTTTACTCGTGTCTTTTACTTACTTCTGCAAGTGAATGACAAAATTAGTAATGATAATGGTAGGACTCATCCAATTCAACCAAAGCTGCTGCTCATGATAAGGCTTACATTAACAATCAGAGGTATTTCCCGCATATCCAGAAGCCCTAATGTACCCGTATGATTAATTTTCTGGTACATTTTCTCAGCTGCATGACTGTATAACCCCATCCGTACGCTTAAATATTGATTAGTGAATAAAAGTGGAAAACCTAAAGTACTGAGGCCAGAAGTTCAGTCTAATTATTGCGGTCACACTTGGATAAAACACTGAAAAGTTTCGGTGCGCAAGGTCCTTAGATGAGTGACGTTAACGGCTGCCAGCCAAGAATGGGGATAAAAATACGGCCAAATATCTGGAGGTTGATCATTCAAGGGATTGGGCCAATGTCGTCAACACAGTTAAGTGGTCAAACGACAGAGATCTGATTTCATAAAATTTACATAATGAACGTTCAAACAATGATGAAAAAGTCTGTCAAGTTTAAGAAGTGGTCATGATATGGAGGCGTCAAACAGAGGTTTTTACTGTATTTGGGATCATCAGCAGTCGGTGGCAGATGGGTTTTTATATATCGTGATCGGTACAAGTGCGTTGTGTCAGAAGTATTGCCAAGACCAACTTAGAAAGCTACCTTGTCCTAATTTAAGGAGTTAACATAGCATAATTCATGAAGTTTCTCAAAATCACTACACAATTGGCGTCACCTGCCGGTCATTTGGCGCATTATTTCGTATAGGCTAGTGAAAGATTTAAGACACAGTATCAGTTTTAGCAACCTGAGGTTACTCTGGTTATGTAAGTACCCATACATTGAATATGACCCAAGAGTTCGTGATGACAAAGGCTTATTTCATTGCGAAACATCGAAATTGCGCCGGAAGTCTAAATACACAAGCCCAGTCAACGAGTGAACGGTTTCAACCCGTAACAAAAAAAATCTCCTTACCTTCTCGTTTAATTTTCGGTTATTTACGGCTTGGTATTATAGTTTCAGATCCAGCGCGGTTATGACTGTATAAACGCCTTAAACGTGGACATGGCTGTTTCAGGGGTACGGAGAGTGAGCCTTACCCAGCGATTACTTGTTACTTAAATATTTCGTTGTTGAACTAGTTGTGGCAGTTGATCCGTATAGTGTATTTTCCAAATCTCATGCATCAATTTAGCACAGAAAGCTGTGTGGCTCCATTTAGAATTTAAGTATATGAATACAGTGTCCTCATGGTTAATATGATAACATAAAAGGCTGACTTTCCATTTGGGATCAAACTGGTTCTACCCTAGAATTATTCAAGTGTAGCGGATCGGTAACCGTTGCCTGCTTTGACGTCTGCGTCTTCTCTCCCACGGTTAGAAGCTTAGAAACAAGCGAGGCAACATTTTTATCCACCACTCGGTCGTAACAAAGCTGCAATAATTTGGATTAATTTTAGCAAATGAAACATTAGTTGATTATTTTATCTATCCGCAGTGAGAAAGAGTTTACCTACACAGGGACAGGTCAACAAGTACACACTTGTGTTTCTCAAATAATGCCATCCGACGTAGGAATGGAGAGCAGTCTCTTCGGCGTTTACAATTAGCATGTATCTAAATAGTTTGTGTTGTTTTAGTATTGAACTACTGTAAAACTCCCGTGAGTTGACCACTCAATGGACTGAGCCAAAGTGGTCAACATTTAGAGATGTGAGTCCTTAAGGTTTACTTGTTAAACTTGCATAAAGTACAGAATAAAATAGTCAAGTTAGAGAAGCGGTCAGAAGATGAAAGTGGTCATCTTGACGACATACTGCATTTTGTAAGCTCATACCATTATCACACATTCATTGTGCTAAGGAATTGAAGCAGTAATTCTTAGCAGTATACTTAGCGGACATTTTGATGACAGCTGGGCGAGAAAGCTGATTGCCAACGCGCGACTGTTTGCCACAAATCATGCTTGGGAAAGACCCTGCGAGCTTGTTGTCAGGGCCCAGCCGAAAGCTGATGAAATAAAGCATCAGACAGCAGGCGTGTGCCAAGGCCTAACAGGAAGCTGATGAAATCGCGCATCAGACAGCAGGAGTGTTGACAAGACCTAACCAGAAGCTGAGGCAATCGAGTGTCAGATATCACGTGCGTTGCCATGCCCCGGGTAGACGGACGAGGACTGGAGTGCCCGAGCAAGACGGTGAACTGGACAAACGGAGCGGACAAGCATGTGTGGAGCGTAGGCTTACCGCCAGATCCGCCTGGTGATGATTGGAGGTTGGGTGAGATCGACATATAAATATGAGCGTTCTCTGTCTTAAAACTCTGGTCTGCTGAGTCTTCTTCTGTCTTCCTTTCCTGTCGGGTTTGGCAAGGCGTCAAACAGAGCAGGCGTAAGGGCGCAGATTTACCAACATTCGTAAATCAACCGGTCGATTGGGAACACAGCATTATAACAGTGGCGACGCGAGTACAACCGAACCCAGAAATGGCCATCAGTTTTGAACAATTGCAGATGCTTTTGTAGCAACAACAGGCGCAGTTTGAAGCATTCCAGGCCAAGCTGATCGAGATGCTAACTCAGAAGCTGACAGTGCAGTCAAGCCCAGGGTTAGGGACAAGTGAAAGTGCTCTCTCCCCAGAAACCCTGATTCAGCAGATCAGTGAGTTCCATTACGATGCTGATGCCGGTATAACATTCGTTTCTTGATTCCACAAGTATGAAAACATTCCGGGTTGCCTTTGCCAAAATTCCAACGGAAAAGAAGATTCGACTAATGTTGCGGAAGCTGGGTGGTGCCGAACACGATAAGTTCACCAATATTATCTTACCTAAAATGAGTACTGATTTGTCCTTCGACGAAGTGGTTGCAGTCCTGTCGCAGGTTTTCGGAGAGCAGACATCTTTGTTCAACATCCGGTACAAGTGTCTGACAATAACAAAAATGAAGACGAAGACTGGGTAGACTATTCCAGCCATGTGGATCGAGAGTACGATCGTCCACAACTACACAAGATGACCAGTGATCAGTTTAAATGTCTCATATACGTTTGTGGCCTACAAACATCCAAAGACGCCGACATTCGAACAAGAATACTGAACAAAATTGAGCAGGATTCGGATGTTACATTGGCGCGCTTACGAACAGATACCTACGAGCATTACGCGAATTACGGGATAAGGGTGTAGTTGTAATGAAGCCGGATAAGGGATCAGGCGTTGCAGTCATGAACAAAGTTGAATACATCGAGAAGATGAGTATCATACTCAGTGACACTAACAAATTTAAACGACTGGAGAACGCAGGGGATGCGACTGCATTCGAATCCCGAATCGTTCGCCACTTAGAAATGCTTTATCAGTATCACGTAATCGACAGCGCTACTTATAACCGTTTAAAGCCGAGTGGATCAACTACGCTACAGTTATATGGGCTTCCAAAAACGCACCAGAACGGAGTGCCGCTCAGACCGATCCTCTCGATGACAAACGCACCCCAAAATAAATTAGCTCGCTGGTTGGTTAATGTGCTTTCTCCGCTAAAAGCTCAGTTTAGTCTATATGGCCTCAAAGATTCCTTCGAGCTTGTCTAAGACCTCGATAAAATGAACTTGTCCGACAACGTGATGTGTTCCTTAGATGTGGAATCTTTGTTTACTAACGTGCCGCTACACCAGACCGTTGACTACATCTACGAATTAGAAGAAGGCTCCGAATGTCCGTTGCCGATTCCAGTTGAATTCTTAAGAGAATCATTACTTCTATACACAGAGAAAGTCGATTTCCACTTCCGAAGCCTACCGTATCGCCAAATTGATGGGGTAGCAATGGGCAGCCCACTGGGCCTCATACTAGCGGATTTCTTTATACTAATGATAGAACGAAGCCTATCCGAAGAAATAACGCAGTTGCCATATTACAAACCTTACGTGGACGATATCTTGGTGTTCAGTTCGACAGAAATGCAAATCGCACAGCTAGTGGCGCGTTTTAACTCTGCGCATGCCAATTTGAGGGTTTCCTGTGAAGTCGACCAACAGAACTGTCTTCCATATTTGGATGTTTTTATCAGCCGCAGGGAGGACGGACTGGTAAAACGGTCTGTCTTTCGAAAAACAACATGGTCGGGACAGTATCTGCATTTTAGCAGCTTTACACCAATGCGGCACAAGCGAACGCTTGTGAGGACCCTGTGTAGTCGCGCCAGACGAATATGTTCGACCGATTGTCTAGCCGATGAACTAGAATTAATTACCAACACGTTATTTGCTAATGAATACCCTCGAAAGTTTATACGGAAGTACAGTGAAATTCGTGAAATGAAAGTTGCCGTACCTACTAGGCCCAAGAAAATGATATTCCTGGAGCGGCCTTT